GCTGGGCGAGGACGCTTGACGCCGTCTTCCTTGAAATCTGTGTTTGCACACTCTGCCAAAATGCGCTCGCGGGAAACTGTTAATGGAGTGTACTCAGTAAACCTCCCCGAGGGCCCTCTTTGCTCACGAGGGTCTCGGTGTTTGTCATCCCTTCTCTTCTCGCCAATTCATCGAGGAGGGCCAGAGTCTTGTCGCGGATTACTGGTTGATCCATGATTCCTGGGGTCCCGGGCTCTATTGGTCGCTTCCCTCTCCTCGTAGTCCATGTATTCTCTGGCTTTCTCGAGGAGGGCATCAAATATCCGGGGCGGTTCAATGCCTACGGCCTTTCTGAATTTTGTGCCCGGGAGGAGGAGTCCCCTCTCGAGCAGGTATCTCTTCATGTGATCGGTGCAGGGGACCTGAATGACCTCCCGGTTGAACCGATCAATAAATTCCCTCATGGTCTTGTTGTGTCTCTGGACGATAGCCTCGAGGTCTACTTAGGTCTTTAGGTGCCGTCGCGAAGCAGTGAACAAACTGATGAATTGGTTCTTTAAATTTCGCCAAGAGGTAATTGACCCCAGGGCGAGACTCTTGTACCAGTCCATCGCAGCTTTCCTTAAAGTCGTGGGAAACAACCGGCATTTGATTGGTCCCCCAACATTGTGATGATGTAGTATGGCCTCGAACCTGTCTATATGGTCAACCGGGTCGGTAATGTTGTCGTATTCCTTCAGGTGGGGAGGCTTATCCATTCCCGGGGGGATAGGCGCTTCCATAATGGCTTGTGACAAGGGACCGTGGTGGTCGTCTTCGTCACTCCTGTCGGGTGAGCGAGAAGGGGATCTGATATAGTGGCGGTTATGGTAGCCTTGGTCGCGTGGAGCGTTCCTCGGGCGGTATGGTCGTTCGTTGTTTCCCCCATTCTTGTGTCCAGGGGGTCTTCGTTCTTGACGCGAGGGGACGTGATCGCGTCTCCCCGTGTCAACGGGCTGGTCCCTTTTTAATGCGAGACGTTGTCCGATTGGTCGGGGAGAAGGACTTTGAGAGACGTCCCGACTACGCCTCAACGGGGGAGATCGGGGATGTTCCTCTACTTGGCGAGGAGGAGGAGACTAGGGCCTCCTGTGTCTTCTCGGGGCTCTCCGAGCATCTTCGAGCGCCCTCAATCTCTCTCCTTGAGAGAAAATCAGGTAATTGGTCTGATTGATTGCCACGAACAGTGCCCTGGTCGTGGCGTCTGCTTCGGCGGGAACGGGGACCTCATGGAACTGGATGGGTTGATAGTTCTGGGGAGGTGGCTGATCGTCTTCAAGTCGTGGAGGTATTGATGATGATGAGGCAGTTGCTCCGTCTCTATAGTCAGAAGGCCCAAACATATTAACGATGGGGGTCGTATTATAGCCAGCAGTACCAACATTGTCGATGCCGGGATTGTCGATGATGTTGTTGTTGTTGGCATCGACGATGCAAATGTTCAAGTTGTTTTTTGCAGTCTGATCAACCATGATAGTCAGGAGTGATTTAGCTTTAGTCTTGAGTAAACGGAAGACGGGGAAGCAAGTTTCCCACAAACGGCGCCACTGATCGTACCTGACCAGAATGGACCGTCACAACTAGCTCGAGCAAAAGTTGAAAGTGAGGTGGGGGGGGGGGGGGGGTACCTGCAAGACACTCCGATGTCAAAATGAGTTCGGGAATAAGGTAAGCAAGTATGAGAATTTAGAAAAATGTTGTATACCTGACCCTCTCGATAGAGAGGGTATTTATAGCCCCCAACATTGGGCCAAAATCTCTTCATTGGGCTGGTCAAGCAGGCCCAACATAGAGACTGTCAGGTCCCGCGTGAGTAGTGGGGACCCGCACGTGGTCCCCTACCTGGGTGGCGTCCTCCGCAAGGTCAGGAGGATATGGATGTGATCTTTCTAGAACCAAGAAGACTCCACAATATCTGGGGGGTGTTGATAGTCAGCCCTACGAGGAGGATGCTCGGGGGGAGCGTCTGCTCGTCATGGGTGATCTCAGCTAGACGCGAGGTCGATAGGGGACCAGTCTTGGTCGACGAGCTAGTTGAGGTGTCCCTGAAGCCTTCATGGTCGGGGGTGTGAGCGTCCTCAGTCTATTCGAGCGTTGTCCCGTGTGGTGAGGTTGTCTCCTCGCGGGAAAAGGTTAGCAATTGCCCGCCGTGTTCGAGGGTAGTACCGTTCAGTGATGCAGATTGACACACTTGAATTGAGCCTCATTGGGAGTTGGGCCAAGGGCAAGCCCAGTCCAAAACAAATAATTTTTTAGAGAATTCACTTAGCCAATATTCTGATTTAAGTAAACAATGTTATGACTAACATTTTTTAATATAAAAAAGTTTAACCCGCGCCTCGCACGGGTCTAAATACTAGTATTGTGTAATTATAATTAAATTATTTATTAATTCTATGGGGTTTAGAAATGTGTTACATTTTTTTTTCTTTTTAATAAAATGAAGCTAATTAGTAAACTCGTTGATTTTTCCAAAATTTGTACTTTTAAACTCAATGTTATATCAGTTGGTTGTGTTGGATACTCGGATATACATCTCCTTTTTTTTTTTATAAAAAAAACACAATAGAGAATTTTGAAGATATACATATCTGAAAACACTTTCCGTAAAAAAAAAAGATTTATTCGAATATGTATATTCAAAATTTTTTTTTTTTATTTTGTCAAAAATAAAATATTTTTAGATATGAATCTTCAAAACTAAATATATTATGAAAAAAAATAATTTTAAACATGTATATCCGAATTCAGGAGCTATTATCGAAATATCGTCAAAGGTCTCTAAAAAACCATAAAGGTGCATTAAGAAATTATTTTTTTATTTACTTATTTATTCATTATAATACTTTCAACCTGGCCCGATTATAAGGCCAAAAATTTCACTTAACTTCACAAAATTTCGACCAAAATCTAAACCCTAATATTTTCACTTCTTTTTCGTTGAACCTTGATAATCAAGCACGCGGTTGGTTCGCCACACCTTCCGTATCTACTCCAGGTTTGTCTCTCCTAAAATCCATCTCAGTCAGCCGCGCCCTAACTGGCTGGCATCTGTGGCCGCTGTACCGTAACTGGCATCTGTGGCCGCTGTACCGTAACTGGCATCTGTGGCCGCAGTACCTCCGTGTTTTTGCTGCTATTGCTGTGATTTGAGCCTTATTTTCATATATGTAATTTGTGAACATGTTTTGGTTGTTTTTATGAATATATTAGGTCTGAGTTATGTTGAGTTTTTTTAGTACTAAGCAAAAGATTTGTTGATTTGTTATCATAAGATTTGAATTATTGCACTTTGCAATATTTAATCAACTCTTTTTAACAGATTCACGATGGCATCATCTTCAATGGAAGTTGACACTGTCTTATCTGAACCAAAAGCTTTACCTCCAAAGCCTCAATTTGAGCCTCTAAAGCCCCATGAGATGTCCAGTGGTCAAGTTCAGTTTCGCAAGGTATCCGTTCCGCCGCATCGTTACACTCCTCTCAAGAAAATCTGGATGGAGATCTATACACCTGTATACGAGCAGATGAAAATCGACATCCGAATGAATTTGAAGGCGCGTAAAGTTGAGTTGAAGACGAGACGCGATACTCCGGATATAAGTAACCTGCAAAAGTGTGCTGATTTTGTCCATGCTTTTATGCTGGGTTTTGATGTTATTGATGCTATTGCTATTCTGCGGTTGGATGAGCTTTATGTTGAGTCCTTTGAGATTAAGGATGTTAAGACGCTTCGAGGCGATCACTTGTCTCGAGCTATTGGAAGATTGTCTGGAAAAGGTGGGAAAACGAAGTTTGCGATTGAGAATGCGTCCAAGACAAGGATTGTCATTGCTGACACTAAGATTCACATTCTGGGATCGTTTGCAAATATCAAGATTGCTAGGGATTCTCTCTGTTACCTAATTATGGGATCACCGGCAGCAAAGGTTTATTCTAAATTGAGAGCGGTTACTTCTAGGATGGCGGAAAGGTTTTGATGTTATAGTGAAAAGTTATAAAATAGAGTTATTTATGAGTTTAAGAATGTTTGCTAAATTGTTTCAGGATTATCAAATTTTGGTTATTTTCTTTTGCTAAATTGTCGTAATGAGAGATTACTTTTTTTTCTTTTGAACTTTCATGATTATCTTTGACAATGGCAAAGTGAATCAATTTGAAAAGTGTTTGTATTAGTTGTGTTGATTTATGCTTATGAAAAATGTCATGATCATTGAGAATTGAGAAGTTAAGTGTTGGCTTGCTGTATATGGTTGTTGTGTTCATTCATATGATAAGTATGGTGTTTTTCATAGCTGTTTTTTTTTTACCCCATGTTGTAAAACAAACTTAACTATAAGTTATGTGTTCATTTTTCTCAAATTGTCTTATGATAAAATAACATCATTTAAAGAAATCACCTGGTTTTGAAAATTAGAAATCTGATTATAATAGAAATTACTTCAAGGGCATAAACTTTTCTTAGAAGTTTTGATCTGTCACAATCCCTAGTATGGGAAGTATGAGCAGTGGTGCAGATATTTGGTGTAGAAAGAGAAATTATATGCTGAATCAAAATAATATAATTTGAATTTCAATCTTGTATTTCTGATTTCATGCACACTGTTTTTCACCCACATTATGTAAAACAAACTTCTCAGTTGCTACTTTAAGCTAACATTCAGAGCTTTGAATGTGTTTGTTTCGAGAAAGAATTTAGAGCTTCTATGAATAAAAAAACATTTAGCTTCATATTTATCGTTCAAAATCGACTTTAAGCAAAAGCAGGGATGAAAATACAATAATACCATAATCAAATATTAATCAGCTTAAATAAGTATTGAGAAATAATAAATTATTTATCAATCAAAAAGAAAAATTCCTTCACATGAAATGCCATAATCATAATCATGAATCAATGAGGTCTATAACTTGTTTTCTACAATTTGAAATGAAATTCAAGTAATAAATGAATCCTTTTTCAAATATAAGAAAAGCTGTTTTCAGCCAAAAAGAAACCCAGCTGCTTGTTCCTCATTGCCATTGAATAGTTGAAGAGCTTGTATAACTGCTTGTCTTTCAAATCCTAGCTCAACAAGCTTTGCAACTTTGCTTTCAAATTCAGAATCCTTCAAACCAAATCAACCATAATCAGAAAAATCTTCAAACACATAATTCATAATCATCACACAAAAAACGCAATCGTAAAATACCTTAGACCCGCCACCAGAAGCACCTCCTTGTGATGAATTATTGTTCCCTGATGTAACCTGAAAGAATGACACAACATAAACTATAAGCTATAACTTTTTTTATAAGTTATCCTAGAGAGCTTAACATATCTTAAGCCGTTCTCTCAAATAGTCTCGCAAGTGCTTATACGAGCAGATAAACCAAAATAAGTCAATTCAAACAAGCCCTAAGAACCGGATTAAAGTAATATAAAACTTGACGTAAAAGTATACTTACTGGGGGAGGGACTCCTGAGCTTGAAGCTTCCTTGGAATACTTTTCCTCGTCTAAATACCGAGACGGAATGTCTTTCTCTGAAAATATAAAGTACAAGAAGGTTAAATCGTGTTGAAAACAGAACTGTGCAGACTAATGAGAAAAATTGGTCATTGCTAAAAACCCCCGGATAAGATAAACAAACCTTGCAAAAATGGCACTGAAACTTCTCCTCCACCAACTCGCAAAACGTTTTCTTTTAAATCAATTATACACTGCATACATGAGGCACATCGATAAGAATAACAGTTTGGTGGTAATTTCTGACGCTGAATATACAAGATTGCAAATGAGGATGGTACCTGATGCTTTCGAAGCATATCCAGCCCAAAGAGAAACTCCATGTTGGGGGAATCCAGCACTAAGAATGAACAAGGGTAAAATATATTCCCAATCTACAAGAAATCGATACACAAAATGCAAAATAGACACACACAAAAATGAGCAAGGGAATGGAGCAATAAGACACAAGTGACACAGTAAGATCGGTTAAAACATTACCTTGATTGGAGCTACATGTATTCTACCCAAGATTTCGGTTTGGCCAACTCCGTGAGCAACTCCTTTGTAACGCTGATCTAAAAGTCTCAGTAATCTACAAGATAACACAACCATCGAAATAATTCTATTTTCCGAAATATCCTATTATAATCTTATAGATGTATTGGAAGCAAGTTCCAGTTATATCGAAGTACGTACCCTAAACGCTCAGCGCAGGTTTTTGATATAATGGTAGACTGTGCTCCACTATCAACAAATGCCTGAGACAATGTGAAAATCCAAATAAAATTTTCTGTCATTGAAGAACAGAACTGCAATAGGTAAGCAACAAATCCTGAACTTGAAGAAGGATGCTCTTTTAAGCGGCCACTTACCTTCATTGGTACACCATTAACCTCCATGTCAACATACAACATGACCTGAAATATTACAGCTTGGAAATTATTATGAAAAAAACAACAAATCTATTAGCATCGAGATACAAAAGTTATAGAATCATATATACCACTCTTGCAAAACCTTCGGGATTATGTTCAAGTGCAGCTTCCCAATTTTCATCAATTCCTTTCTGTAAAATTAGTTGAAATGCCGTTATGTAAGAAAATTACGGCAAACATACTTTAACTGAATATTAATCGTTAAAGTAAATTTGATATATTTCTTCTGCTACCAGAATCAGTATTTTAAAAACTATCGGTTTAACTTTGTTGAAGATGTGATTAGGTGTGACGAATGGATGTTACTTAAGACAGAATGATAACCAAATGCTTAATCTGTTATGCGGATGCTAATAAATTGTTTGTACGTATAACAAAACTGACCTGGCGGATGGCAGCTTCAATCTTCTTTTGTGCTTCAACATCAAAAGGATCGGCATAAAGAAGAGCCTTGAAAAAAATTCAAAGAAATTCATGAGGAAAATAAATATAACGAAAGAATAATGAAAACGCACAGGGAATAGGATGAAGAAGCTTGTAATGATATACAGTTTAATCTCTAGACAAACGAAGAGAAGAAACAGTCATCATACAATCAGCTTACCATCTCTTCTTCTTTCTGACGCCGTAATTGATCTCTTTGGCGATGACGCAATCGCAAAATTTCCTGGATTTTATTGAGATCATTCCCCAGAATAACTTGTGCAAACTCCGGGTCACTCTGTACGTTTCATTATAAATTGTCTCAGAATATAGCCAATTACCAAAAACAAAAGAACCAAACAACATACTTAAAGTCGCGTATGAACTCAAAATCATGATAAAGAAGAAGGAAAACTTCATTAATAAAAGAAACATCAATTTACCTGGAAGAGCCGGCCCATCAAATTAGAATCGCGTCTAAAGTGCTGTTGAAAAGCACCAGGGTTTACAGCAGATCCATCAGTATTGATGCTCAAATCATTCGCAGAACCACTGAAATAATTTAATTTCGTTACAAAAATTATCAAGTTATCGAAACATTATAACGATTCAACTAACTGTATCACTGGTGAAACATCATCATATTGATTACATCAATTAATACAAGCACAATAACATAGTCAATTCACATATATAATCTTGATCAACCCGTAAGGTTTAGTTCCGATTTGAGAATACCGGTAGGTAAACAATGCATTATCTCAAAATGTAAAATCAATGGAAATTATACCTAGAAGCAACAGCACCAGCACCGGCCCCGGCCCCGGCCCTAGAGACCGTCATCATTAGCAAATCATCATCCTTAACACCAATGGCACTCAATTTCTGAGAATTGTTAACCTCATTCCCATTGAAAAGAATCTGCTGCTGCTGTATAGACACACCTGTCTATTGAAAAACACAATTAACAAAACTAACCCCAAAAATTCACACATTAAAAAACCATATCAGATCCAAATTCAAACACATGAATCAACTACAAATATGATCAAATGGGATTTTTTATTTTTATTTCTAGGTTTTGATAGTAATGATAATCGAATGACCCACAATTGCAAACAACATTAAAATTAACAGAAGATAAACTTTTTAATCCAAAAATTATATTTTTACGGAAAAAAACGAGATGGGTAGTGGAGAACACAAACTCACCTCAACCTCAAGCAAGGCTTTAACGTTTTCAACCTAAAAGGGTAAAAAATAAAATTAAAAATCAGTGATAATGAAAGATAAATATGAAGATTAAAAGCAAAAAAGAAGATATTTTTGATGATTACAGATTCGTTGGGATCGACATCCAAGTTGAGAATTTGTTCATCAGCAGTCATGACAGTGATCTTCATATTGAACAAGAAGAAGACGAGAGAGAGACAAGTTACGAGGTTGATTTCGATTGTTGGTGAAGTGGTAAAGTAAAAAAAAAGACTAGTGGAAGACTAAGAAGGTTTTTAACTCTTATAATTACTTGTTGAAGGGGTTCACTTCAAGTTATGAACTATATATAAAATAAGGTTGAAGTTATCTACAAAGGTTTTTTTTAGGATTAGTATTGTTATTTTCTTTTCTAGATTATAATATCTTGAATTTAGATTTGAATTAGAATTGTTTCCAAAAAAATATATTTGAATTAGAATTAATTTACTATATTAATTTGTTAAAATTAATTTGACGATTGATTTAAATTAGATGAATTTTAAATTGAAAAAAAATTTGATTTGATTAGATAAGATAAGAATGATAGTTTGTTTTAACAAAAAGTATAATTTTAAGGAATAAAAAGATTTGACTATTTTTTTAAAGATTGTATTTATTTAAATATTATTATTTTGAAATAAAAATGATTAAATAATTTCTAGCATGATAGTTTTCTAGTTTGTATCGAGAATAGGTGCAAATTATTTTTATTTTCTCTTTTCACAAATTTTATTCTTTTATGGAAAAATTTATTTTCTCTTTTTATAAACTATACCTTTCTTTATTAAAGGATGGAGATTTGTTTAATGAAAAGTTTGAAGATATTTTTTTCTCTTGAGACGATTAGTCTTTAACATGAGTTCCACTCTTATGTCACTTGTTGAACAAGTGACTTCAAGCACAAAAAGGAAGGTGAATTGTTGTGTTTGAAAGTTGTGATCGATTTTATACTTTTTTGATTAAGATTGTGTTAGTAATTTTGTTTGATCGTAAATTTCAGCAGAAATGAATAATGAAAAGTAAATAGCAAAAATTAAAAGGATGGAGTTAGAAAGATTGCACCAAAGAGTTTGGCTATCCATATCCCCAATAGGTCTTCTTGAGATTTTGACTATAAACTTTGTAATTTTTTATCGGTTACGCCTTCGAACCTTTATATAAGCTGATCTTGAGATTTTTACAAGTTTATCCCCAACCACAAATAGCTTTTACCACAATCCACAGGCTAAGCTAAAATCTTCTTAGAGATTTTCAGCTTGATTTCAATAATCAAAAGCATAACTTTTTCCGCCAAAGTTCAATAAACCCAAGATTTTAAGATTGGCTTATGTTGTACCCCAAAATTTGCCCTCCCATATTCTTCAAGAAATTGCCAGGCCAAGTCATAAAACTCCCCCAAGGGTTGCACAGTCCAACTGTCTCCTATACAGTCAAAACTAGGGTTTTGAGTCTGGTCAAGAAAAGGAAGTGTTCAAAGGCCCAATCAAGTCTCACATGCCTACAAAGATGGTCAAGTATCCTCATATCAAGTTTCAAGGCATTCAGCTCAAAATTGCACAGTCAAAACCCTAGATTGCACTACAGTCAACTGTAGGGGCAAAATGGTCATTTGACAGTCAAAAGTTCAAATTTTTGGTCAACATATCATTTTGAAGCCACAAACATCATTTGATCAATGCTTGATCATGATTCTCAAAATTTGGCTCAGAAATCATCAAAGATGCAAAAGTTGCTATATTTGGACAGCTGAAAAAGTCAACTGAAATTGACCAGGGCATAACTTTCACATGGATTATCAGAAAAATTCCATCCAAAGCTCATTTTGAAGAGAAAGACATTTCCTACAACTCATCTTCATACTTCAAGTCCAAGAAATGCTCTCACAAAAAGTTATCAATTTCAACATTATAGGTCATTTTCAAAAGTCAACAAAAAGGGACTTTAAGTCAAAGGCCATAACTTGATATTGGAAAATCAAAATGACATGGGACCAAAGGCATTGGTTAGAGGACTCAAAGACTTTCCAAAATGTCCAAGAACATGTGAAAAGCTTAAAAATTGAGCAAGTTATGCCTTGTAGAAGTTGGGAAATTTTCGTGAAATGGCAAAAGTCAACTATCCTTGAAACTCCAATTTTTGACAAAAGGGCCCACTTTCTTCCACTTGATTCATCCTTGTCATGCCACACACGTGTCCCATGGTTAATTTCAAGACCAAATATTGATTTTTCTATTTTATTTAATTTTTGATAATTTAATTCATTTTAAATCTTTGAAAATTCAAATAAAATTCAAAAACCAATGGAATAGTGTCATGTGAATTTGGACAACTTCCATGTATCATGGGCCAACTCAAAAACTCAGGCTAGGGTTAAATTGCACACTAGGTCTTGGTCTTGGCTTAAAAGAAGGAAAATTGGTTAATGGTGGAAACCCTAGGACTAGTTCTCTCATGAGCATGAATCTAGGTCAGCTAGCAAGCCAATTCTCTCCCATCATAAGCACTGAGTCAAACCCTAAGCCTTGGACACAAAAGGCTGCGCTCAAAAGCTTATTGAAAACTTGAAAAATTGGCCATATAACTAAAATCCGAAATCAAGGTTCTAGGGAGTTTTAAGCCTTAATACTGATTCCAATAGTTTCCTTAGGCATTCCTGAACGTGTGCCAATTCCTAACATCAACCAAGACGCAAAGAAGTGGTATCTATAGCTCAGACTGTACCTCGAAACTTTTGAAATCGCATATCTCAAATCATACATCTTTTTGCATTTTGATTGATGAATTCTTGTTCATAATGAAGTTTCCAAGCTAACCATTACTTTTAATTGTGTTTTTATTGATCATACGAGATTATGCCATGTTTGGATATTAGGGTTTGCAGGTTTTAAAATTGGGGTTTTTGCAAAGAAGAAAAATTAAAGCTTCAGACCATGACCATTGCATTCAGTACATTGAGACGAACATGAATCAACCTTCGCGAACAATTTATGAGCTACATAGCGCTATTCGCTATTTCTTCTAAAGGTGCCTAAACCCACGCATAAAAAACCGTGGCCTTTGTTTTGTGGTTTCAGGAAAAGTGGAGAAGATGACCTCGTGTCCAATGGTCATTGGTGCTTTTGAAATTCGCGCGTTTTTAATCCACTAACATTATGTTTTACTTATTATATTTATATGTTGTTATATGTTAAATTAAAAGCGTTTGGTTCAGTGGTGCAGGTGTCACTTTGCAAAGTCCAAGACCTGGGTTCGAATCCCAGGTCTGAGTAATTTCGTTACTATTTTTTCATTGATAATCATATGCAGGCACAATCCTAAGACGCATCATGCACACTCAAAACTCATCGTCCACGCGTCCCAGTAGATCAATCAGAGGGCTCAGATTCAAGGCACATGATACACTATGGTCAACGCATTGGCACGTGAACTGAAAAGTCAAGTGGATTTCAATGTTAATGGGCCAGAATGCTAGGCCTTACCCCCAATTTTGGGGTCACCCCCCCCCCCCCCCCTGGTTTGCTTTGCTTTTCATAATTTATTTTTTTATTTATTTTCATTGTTTTAATTAATTAATTGTTTTCTTTACAAAATACAAAAATATCAAAAAATCAGAAAAAAGGATAAAAATATAAAAAATATTTATTTTATTTATTTTCTTGTAAATAATTAACATGTAAATAAATTTAGTAAAATAGGTTTTAACTTTAATTCTTTTTTCCATAAAAAAATCCAAAAATATAGCATTAGGTTAATGACTTTTTTTATTCCTTTTAACTTTCCTTGTTTTTTGCCATAATATTAGTAATTTTCATAATTAAACTAGGGTTGCATTTTAGGTTAGATTTTAATACTTTCTTAATAACTAAAAATCCAAAAATATAGCATTAGGTTTAATGACTTTTTATACCTTTTAAATTTTTCTTTTTTTTATCACAATATTATTTATTTATTTATTTTATTTTTATAATTAAATGTACATAAGTAAAAATTAGGGTTTAATTTAGATTAATATAACATTTTCACAATAACTAAAAAACATTAGAATTAGGATTTGCATTTCAAATTTCATTCTAAAAAGTTCTTTTTTTCTTTTAAATCTTAAAAAATACAAAAATACCAAAAACATTCTTTTTTTTTTAATTCTAATTCCTCATTAAATTTAATTTTTTGCAAAAGGGTCCAACGCCCATTGTCTTAATTATTTTATTTCGCACATTTACTTTATCGCTTATTATTCATTATGTATATGTCCCAAAGCCTTGTAACTTTATTTCTCGCACTTTTATTTTATTGCTTCTTTACTTTCAGTCAAATCGGGTTCGGTTTATTTTGGCGATGTGGACCCGCGCCATTTGTAATAGCCTTAGATTTATTTTTTTTCCGCAAATATTTAAACTGTTAAAAAGCATGCAAGAATGAATGTCCTAATTAAAATCAAGCGTAGATCACAAATAAACATGACAAGACAAATAACTGAAACATGACACACAATTCGCACACACCACCCCTAGGGTACGCCTCACTGTTGCCTTTCGAAAGGTGGTCGTCGAGTAGAGGACGTCTTAGTAAGTCCTCATGATCCGGGAACCTGGCATGAGGGTAGCTTCTAAGGTGTCTTCCCATTGCTCTGGTGATCACCATGTCCCTACAAACTCGAATTGACCCGAACACCTCCAACAGTGGTGCTACCTACCTCTCAATGGTGGGATGGCGCTACTTTAAAGGCCATTTACGCAGACGAATTCCTTAGGGTAGGTAGGTTCTCAAGGATACTTGCTCTAATTTCAAACAAATCAAAATCTTTTCACACCAACACATTTTCAAAAGCTTTCAAAGCAAATTTTTCAAACACTCTGACGTACGAGTCGAACTGAAATTTTTCAAAGAAACTTTTTAAACCCACATTGAAAAGCAAACAAACAATTTTGAAAACACATTGAGCAAGTATCTAAGAGCCCATGGATAACCATGGATAGAAAGTGTGCTAACACCTTCCCTTTCTATAACCTACCTCCCGAACCGAGAGCAATCTCTTTAAAGGAATTTTTCTGTGCTTTTGTCCTTTCCATTTGGAGAAAATAAAAGACGGTGGCGACTCTTGCTTCCGCGACATTTCGCGAACCAGCGTTAAACAGTCAGTTCCAGATCC